AAGAAACTAAGTACCATCATGATAACAGTTTATTATTCAGTTACATGACTGATAAGCTGATGGAGTATTTTGCTATTGTAGTTCATTTTTGTTGTCACTCACCTTTTTATAGGGTTCATTTTCCTCTTTGAGGATATAGGGGGGGAAATGAGTTAAAGGAGAACTATGAGGTGAGTGATTTTCACTTAACCTTATAGTTCGAGCCGACGTGTGACAATGAAACTGTCACACGTCGGCTCAATAGATCGGGAAGTGAGCGAACACATAACGTCGCTCGCTCACTTCTCGATCCTGTCCCTGCAGAGAGACGATCCTGTCACGGCTCCCTGCAGGGATTCCCCCTCCCCGCTCCGATCTTCCAGCGCTGACTGGAGGAACGAACGGGGGAGGGGGCGGGTACAGCTGGCTCTGCCCCTAGATATCAAGCAGCTGAGTGGATCTCGACAGTAATGTTGGGATCCGTCCCGTCTGCGGCGGTCTCAGTATACCGCGAGCTATAGCTCGCGGTATACTGAGCTTTGGGTCGTGAGATGATGCTTGTTTATGTCCTCCGTGACCCTGAGGAGAACTATGGGGAAAAACACTTACCCCATAGTTCTCCTTTAAAGACTGGAGGTAGTAAAGTGGAATTACATTAATAATGCTGGAAGTGTGTGGGTTGTTTTTGGGGGTTACAGATAGAGGGGTGTTATTCATGTTTTTCTTATACACTGGTTAAAATCAAAAAATGCATTGACTGTTATATACATAATTTTTTATATACATATTTTTGATATCTGTGTAATGAGTTCTTAGATTAGCATTATTAATTAGATTTTGAGAAGGGATGTTGAGATGCAACATTATTTTCAATTAAATATTTTTATTTGCAACAAACATATTCTGGTAATTTCAGTTTTTCAAAGTTAATTTAACTGACAGCATAATTGAGAAGTTGCCTAGATTTCACACTGATTTAGTGGAGGGCTTTTTGGTTCCTTTAACTTCTCCTCACCATACGCTATACTTTCTCTTTGGTCCCCAAGCCCTACTCTATAGTAGCCTTTGTTTCCATACACTGCAATGATAATGGCCAACAACCCTGAAACAGCTGTGTGCAGTTGGAATAACTATAATATTCGGTTATTTCTGTCCTATACACCATGTACCGTTAGCCACTTTGATAAAAAGGAATGTCTTGCATGGCTCTTCCCACTATCCTGAAATGAGTAGTAAGCGATATGTGATGCAGTAAAACATGTAAATACCTTCTGTTCTAAGTAGGTTTTACTGTGCTTTTTGGTTCCTTTAGTCCCTGCTCACCATAACCTTCTGAGTTATACACTGAACAGCTATAGCATTATGACAACTGAGAGGTGAAGTGAGTACCATCGATTATCTCGATACAATGGTACCTGGAAGTGGCTGTCGTGCATTAGGCAGAAAGTGAACATTTTGTCCCTGAAGTTGATGTGCTGGAAGCAGAAAAAATGGGCAAGCATAAGGAATTGAGCAACTTTGACAAGAGCCAAATTTTGATGGCTAGATGACTGGGTCAGAGCAACTCCAATAATGCAGCTCTCGTGGGATATCTGAATCTGTCAGGACCTACCAAAAATGGTCCAAGGAAGGAAAACTGATGAACTGGTGACAGTGTCATGGGTGGCCAAGGCTCATTGATGGGGAGCGAAGGCTGGCCGTGTAGTCCAATCCAATAGAAGAGCTACTGTAGACCAAATTGTTTAAAAAATGAATGTTGGTTCTGATATAAAGGTGTCTGAATACACAGTGGACTGCAGTTTGCTGCATATGGGGTTGCGTAGTTGCAGAACGGCCAAGGTGCGCATGCTGACCCGTGTCCACCGCCAAAAGTGAGCAATGGGGACGTGAGCATGAGAGCTGGACCACGGAGTAAAGAAGAAGATGGCCTAATGAATTATGTTTTCTTTTACATCATGTGGTTGGCCTTACATGGGGAAGAGATGGCACAAGGATGTACTATGGATAGAAAGCAAGCTGGCTGCAAGAGGCAATCTGATGCTTTGGGCAATGTTCTGCTGGGAAACCTTGGATCCTGCCATTCATGTGGATGTACCTCTAACATGTACCACCTACCTAAACATTGTTGCTAGCCAACTACACCCCTTCATGGAAATGGTATTCCCTGATGACAGTAACCTCTTTCAGCAAGATAGTGCGCCCTGCTACACCTCAAGATGGTTCAAGAATGGTTTGAGGAACACAACAACAAGTTTAAGGTGTTGACTTGGTTTTGGATTTCTCCAGATCTCAGTCCAATCGAGCATCTGTGGGATGTGCTGAAAAAACAAGTCAGATCCATGGTGGCTCCACCTAGCAACTTACAGGACTTAAAGGATCTGCTACTGATACCCTGGTGCCATATACCACAGCATATCTTCAGCGGTGTAGTGGAGTCTATGCCTGGGTGGGTCAGAGCTTTTTTGGCAGCAAAAGGGGGACCTACTCAATATTGGGCGGGTGGTCATATTATTATGGATGATCAGTGCTATTGTTAGCCCTATTTCATAGAAACCATAGGGGTTGATTTACTAAAGACAAATAGGCTGTTAATTTTTCAAGGGGATTTTCACTTTGCACTGAAATTTTCCCTTAGATTAGTGAATGTGGTTAAATTCACTTTGCAAAGAATATACAATCATGTGCAAGGAAATATATTTATAGCCGACCAGCCTCGAAATTTACTCAGCCTAGCCAGGCAGCACAGCCAGTCTGGTGACCTGAATGTTCCCTGCTGGAGTTATTCTATACAGCAAGGCCATCTGCTCATGCTGTATTGCATGACTAAAGTTAAGGAGCAGAAGAAGACTAACAAGGTCATCTCTCTCCTTTTCCTTCTCTCTCTCCTTGTCAACACGTGTGCACTGATCTGATTGGCTACAATGCTGCCCCCCTCCCTCCTCCAGTATGATTGCCGGTGTGCAAGGAATGATTACATGCTAATCCTCACAAAAGGGTGAAGAGTTTGGGGAAGGCATGAGAACTGAATGATCTAGTCCAAATGGCCGCCCCGTCGTGATTGGACGGCGGCGGACCGTAGTGTGCGGCCGCCGGGCACCTTACACCGGCGCCCGCAACTTCCCACAAGGTCACCGCTGCCGCCCCTCTGCGCTCTGCCGCCCTGAGGCCAAGCCTCGGTGGCCTTGTGGGAAATCCGGGCCTGAGTCCAAAATTGCTGATTTGGAAAAATTCTACAATTCAGCTCACTTTCCAGTTCAGCTATGTTGTCCTAGATTGTTCACTTCTCCTGCCTTCTCCAAACTCTTCACCCTTTTCTGAATAACCCTGTTGGTGTCTGTAATACTTGCTAGGAGTTCAGCTTTAAGTTCACATGTTTATTACATCACTGATCCTACTAGTGATATGAAAGTTTGAAGTTGAATCCATATTGGTTCAGTGTTATGCTGTCTTCAGTCTTCAGTGTGCCTTTTTTACCATATATTTTGCAAGCTCGCTGTCTTTAGTAACTGAGTTGGCCTATAGGATGAAAATGAACTGCTTATTACTGGTCTGTTGTGTAATCTTGACTGTGAAATTTTTTGGACAGCGCTGAATCCCTCAGTAATTTACTCTTGAAAAGTAATTTTGTACTTTTGCTACAGAACATCAACATGA